CACAGGCGCCGGCCCAAGCGCAGCGGCAGATCCGCGAGGCGGTTTTACACATCTCTCGGTGGATTAATAACATGCGGATGATCCGCGGATGCGGTCGCCGATGCCCCTGTCAGATTGAGGCATCGATCTCCTTGTCAGCCGACTGGCCGTCTGCGTTCGCGTCTGGACCCCTGCCCGCGTCAGGCCCGATCCTCAGGCAAGAGCACGGGACGCAGGTGAGCACGACCGGGAGGAAGAGCGTCCCGAAGAAGAAGGTCACCACCTGCACCAAGATGAGCGGGAGGAAGAACACTTCGCGCACCAGGTTGCTCTCCGACGAGAGCATGCACAGGAGCCCAACGAGGGATGCCGCGCAGCCACAGCCCATTGGCAAGCTCAGCAGCTCCATCACGTAGTTGACGCGCTCGATCGGCGATTCTCGATCCTGGGGTGCGGTCAGGAAACGGTGCACGATGTGCACCGCAAACTCCACTGAGAAGCCGATGGCCGTGAGGACGCTGGTTAAGAGCAAGACAGTGAAAGCGCTCCCTGCAAGAGTGGAAATCCCGAAGACCGTGATTATCGACATGGTACAAATCAGCACTATGACGAAAGCCCCAAACAGCGCAGCGCAGATCTTGCCACAGATGCCAGCCTTCAGAGTACTGTCCCAGAAAAAACTGAACACCAAAAACAGGAACGAGATCACGAAACCCGCGCCACCAGCACAGGCCGCTACGAGGCCGGCAGTCTCGTGCAAGTCGATGTACTGCTCCCAGAAGTCGTAGGTGACCCCCTGCAGCCAGCAGTGCATGCCGCTGGAGTCGTCCTCGTCGCAGTGCTTGCGAGTCGTTTCAATGGCGTCCACGTAGCCTGCGTTGCCAACGATGCCGACGTTATAAAGCAGGCCTTTTCCATTGGCGTACGTTCGCTTGATCGGCACTGAAGGAGTTTGGTCATACTCGGCCGAAAGGTTGAGCGGCGCTCCGACGCTTACGGTCGTGACCATCGGGCCGCGCGAACGCCAAATGCCAATGCACTGCGCAAGCTGGGCCTCGGTCCAGCCGTCGAAGACCGGGCAATACTCCGTGGTGGCGTCGTAGGTGGTCGTGCTGTCGCTGGGAGCAATGGCGATATTGAGTCCGAGCTTGCACACGCCCGGCGTCTCTGCGGTGTCCAGCTTGAGGCCCCTGGTATTCTCCACCCAAATCGAGTTGCAGCCGAAGTCCATGCCGCACTTTTCCCCCCGGCCGACTTCTACGCAGTCGGCGGTGCCCCAGAGGGCTAGCGATGCAGACCACAGAGTATTTGTTTCGACGTCGGTCGCGTACGGGGTGGCGATGACTTTCTCGTAGATGTCGATCATGTGCATCTGAACTTCAGGGTCGGTGTACTCCAGCTGGCCGAAATTCACCGTCAGGGGCCAGGAGACGTCGAAATACTTCTCCTGGGCTTCCATGAACTCGTACTCGACGCTACCCGGCTGGAAGAAATTTTTCAGACCCCCGCCAGCTTCGGACAACATTGCGCCATATATGCCGACACCGACGGCGCCCAGTGACACGAGCACGATGAGGATGCGCGCGGGCATGAACCCGAGGACTGGCTTGTAGACACCCTTGTAGAACAAGTTCTTGATGGGGAAATCGGGACGGGTGCCCTTGCAGCAGCAGAGGCAGTCCAGCCGCTGGCTGGCAGTGCGGATCATGTCCAAGTAGCAGATGCACGGAAAGGCCGTGACCATGGCGAGGTACTGCAGGCCGATTGAAATCATCGCGATCTTGCCCATCTCCCGAACGGCAGGCACCGCGACGAACATGAGCATCCCGAACATACCAGCATTGGTCAAGCTAGTCATGGTGACGGGCACCAAACAGCCCTTCATCGCCTTGACAAACCCGCCCGCTGTGTTGCCGCCTTCCAGAACGAGCGTTGTGAGGATTACGTACATGTCGTCTACGCCGAGACCAACCAGCAGGAAGGGGAGCGTCCACACGGAGGTGAACATCAGTTTCGAGCCGAACAGCACTGAGAGGCCCAATGCACCCGAGAAGGCCATGATTGAGAACAACGCCCCAAAGAAACTCACCAGCATCTTGGATTCCGTGAGAGATGGAGAGAACATCAACAAGATTGAGACAACAACGATCGCCCCGTAGCTTACGGCTGACGGTATCAGGGAGTCCTCTGTGGTCTTCTTCAACATGCGGAAGAACGTCCCCCCTTCTCCTCCAGTGAAGGCGGCATATTTGTTGACGTCGTCGGTCTCAGAATCGCTTTTGTCCCAGTTTGCGGTCCAAACCTCCTCCATCTTCTGCTTCATCTGCGTAAGGATCTCGGCGGCGTCGTCCTCGGTGATCGTGACGGCGGGGCGGCTGCCAGGGCCCTCAGCGCGCATGGAGCTGGCGACTTTCTGCACGAAGTACTTGGGTTCCTGGAGGAAGTACACAGCTTGTAGCCCCTGCACGTCCACGAGGATGCCGAAGTCGTTCACGGTCGTCCTCCCGAACATCATCTCGGTAGGGTACTTCGATGACGGGTTCCAGCCAGTGATGTCGCCGCTGGCCCACTCGTGCAGATCCTGTTCGGTGACGCCAGAGGCAGTCACGCTTTTCGAGCCCTTGTCCAAACCTATCCCTGGTGCCTCGGCAGTGAACGTGTTCGTGACGTTTTTTACTATGCCGTAGAATTGTGTCAGCGCCGCCTGCTCAAAATCAGGCGGGTTCAGCGTTGCCAGATAAGCAGCCAAGCCAGGGTTAGCCTGATTCAGCATCAGCACATACTGCTGCTGGACTCCTGTGAGGGCCTTGGTGTACAACCACACGTCCTTATAGCTGGTGCTGTCGGCGTCGATGAACTCGTCGTGGATCGATGAGAAAGTCCAGTCGCCATACGTGCCATCGTACCCGAAGGCCGCGGCATAGTTGGGGTTATCTAGTGTCGCGAAGAGCGTGCGCTCTGCAAAGGCCATGCACTGCATGCAATCTGGGAAAGTTTCGTACGCGGACGGGTTTATGCCAGATGCCATGGCCGCGACCGTCCCCAAAAGGCACCTGGCTTTGCACTCGAAGATGCAGCAGGCGCTCTGTACTGCTGCTGCAGCAGCAGTTTGGGCAGCTGTGTCTCCACCAGCGGCAGCTGCTTGAGTAAATGCATTAGACACAGCCGTGGAGCACAATGCCTCTGGGATGCAGACTGCGGCCGCACCAGCCACGTCGGGTAAGTTAAAGTATGCCGCCTGCGAACTGTCGAGGGCCGGGGGGAAGTCCGTCGCCAGGAGGAAGTAACTAATCACCGGGCGCGCCACGATAGGCACCAACTCCTCGAACCAGATGGTCTTGGCAAGAGGGATGGTCTCCATCTCCCAGCCACCCTCCTTATAAGCGTGAACCGCGGTGATGACCGGGCAGGGCAAGGTGTAGCCCAAGTACATGTCGGCGATGGGCTGGCCGCCGGAGCACGCATCATTATACGAGAACGTGTTGCCATTATACTCGACCGTCACCGCCTCCATGGCTTGCATCCTCTCCATCAGCTCGGTGAGGCTCTCTTTCCTCAGATGGGTCTCCCCGTCCCTCGCGTACGACGTGAAGAGGCATGAGCTTATCCCGGATTCCATGATCTCGGTGGTGTCCTCCAGATTCTGCAGATACTCCTTGTCCTTTGGGTAGTCTCCCGTGTCGGGGGCCCAGATCTTCCACACGTCCAGCTCGGGCTCCGCGTTCAGCAGGCCCAGGGCCAGGGCGATGCAGGCCGCGGGCACGATCACGGAGGCGAGGCAGCAGCCCGCCAGCGTGACGCACGACGCCCTTGCCACCTCCGTGGCAGCCTTCGCGCTCTCCGGCGCGTTGTTGTCCGCGTCCATCGTCTCGACCGCGCCCGGCCACCGGTTCCTCCTTCGCGGATCCCCTGCCAGAGGAGCCTCGCCGGCCAGTGGGTGGAGAGCTGCGAGGCTCGCCTCGCGTGCTCGAGCCGCAGGACGAGGCGGACCCCGCGAGGCGGGCCCAGGCAAACCGGGGGAACCGGGGACCACCTTCACTGGAGTCGGACCCAGGCTTAGGTCGGGCATGCCTCCCTACAAGCCGATTTTGGACGAAAAATGAAAAATACTCCAAACGTACCCCCTAAATGGTCGAACATGCACATTACCCTGTGACGTACCCAAGTCTTTCTATACATGTAGCGATTATACTCAGGACCACTCGATGCTGACTGGCATTCTGAAGGACCCGCAGTGCGCAAGCAGAGCACCCAACAAAGATTTCAGAAGACCGCAGCAAGAAGAGGAACCGCAACTATTACAACATGGAAACACAGGGGCGTTGAAAGAAACGCGTACAACATACCTCCGAATGATCCACGTGGGACGTACCTCCGCTGGGCCTCCCAGGAGCCCACGAAAGTGGCGACAATTGCGCAGATCGCAAACCCCCAGGGCACCGCGAGGTCCCGAGGTGATCCGCGTGGGACGTACCTCCACTGGGGCTCCCAGGAGCCGCCGAAAATGACGACAGTTGCGCAGAGCGCAGGCCCCCAGGGGGCGGCGAGGTCCCGAGGTGATCCGCGTGGGACCCACCTCCGCTGGGCCTCCCAGGAGCCCACGAAAGCGGCAACAATTGCGCAGATCGCAGCTCCCAGGGCACCGCGAGGTCCCGGGGTGATCCGCGTGGGACACACCTCCGCTGGGCCTCCCACGAGCCCACGAAAGTGGCGACAATTGCGCAGATCGCAAGCCCCCAGAGCACCGCGAGGTCCCGAGGTGATCCGCGTGGGACGTACCTCCGCTGGGCCCCCCAGGAGCCCACGAAGGTGGCGACAATTGCGCAGATCGCAGCCCCCAGGGCACCGCGAGGTCTCGAGGTGATCCGCGTGGGACCCACCTCCGCTGGGCTCCCAGGAACTCACGAAAATGGCGACAGTTGCGCAGATCGCAGCACCGCGAGGTCTCGAGGTGATCCGCGTGGGACCCACCTCCGCTGGGCTCCCAGGAACTCACGAAAATGGCGACAGTTGCGCAGATC